GAAAACCAAATCCAATGATAAAGGGAAATCTTGTTGCGCTACCACAACAATTCTGGAGGGAAATGACGAAGGGATCCCAACCTTTCTACTTTTTGACGATGAGCATGAAGCTTTTGTCAGTAGAAGTGGGAACGAGTATTAGTTCAACTATCCCAAGGTGTCCGATCAATCAGCTGAGCAGGGGGTGGTTACCGCCACTACCAAACCTTCTGAAGGAACTCCTCAACGAAAGGAGACTGCAGCTAAGCACAAGGATAAAGAGCCCCAGGACCAAGAGGTTCAAAACCTGAAGCAGTCTCGATTCAACCATCCTATTGGAAGAGACAAATTGGGAAGTTCAAACACTCCATACCGCTTCGATGTTAAAATCCAACTGGCTAACATCCCAGCGAAGATTACTCTATATGAGTTATCATATCTTTCCAAAAACACTAGAGAGGCATTCACCATCACTCCTGACCAGCTAGCCCAAATAGTTCAAGAAGCTTTAACCAAGCAAAAAGAAGAATTTGAAGCCGAGATGGGGTTGGTCGTGCATCAAAAAAGAGAGTTGCAGACTCAAAAGCTTCAACTACTTGAATCCAATCATTGGACTGAGTCTAGTCGTCATACTACATTTGTCACACCCGTTCGAAATGGAGCAGACAACAGTGATCCAAGCATGGATGAAGTCATCAAGGCTGAGACACCCCTCAATAACACTGAGGGTGGCTCGATTGCTTTTCCTCAACATCGCTCGAGCAGAAATGAATGCGCGGATAAGAAGTGGAAGGATGGAGAGTCAGTCACCACCTCCGCTAAATGCTTTCTCAAAAGAAAGGAGGCTGACAGAAGCCAACCGACAGAGGATGTGGCTTCTATTGATCAAACACAACTGTCACCTCAAACGCAGTGGTACTCTTTCAAGATGATGAGGTTCCACCTATCTTAGAGTATCTCCTGAACAACAACAAAATTAAGCTGCCACCTATTAAAAATTAGGATGAAGCCAACAAGAGTTCAGACCCAAAATACTGTGTGTATCATAGGAGGGTCCTTTATCCCACTAAGGCTTGCTTCATTCTTAGAAACAAAATCAAAGCCTTGGTAGAGGGCAGCGTCATGATGGCAGAACAAACCGAATGAGAACGACAATCACTCTGAAAAGTATATGAGTATAAACTGCTTCTTCTGAAACTCTAACAGGTATATGAGTATAAACTATTTCCCTTGTATCCAACGGGAAGTTCTTGGAGAATATTACACATAGTATTCTTAATGATAACCCGACATCAAGAAAAGGGTTAGAAATAAGACACTGCTCATTGGACTCAGTTTCGCCAAAGATCTGGGGGTCGAGTATCTCGAAACTTTTAGTGATTCTCAACTAATAGTCAACCAAATGCGTAGAGAGTACGAAGTCAGAAACCAGAGCCTAATTCTATACCACAAGGTGGCCGTCGAGATGGCATACTCGTTTGAAGGGTTTTTCATTGAGTAGATCACATCTCTAAAATGCAGATGCAGATGCACTGGTGATATTAGCAGTATCTCTGGCACAGCCTCCCGAAACAAAATAATTGGTCACCGTGAAAACTCATTAACTCTTCATACCAGAGTGCACCTTGGGGGACAAAGAAGCGCACACGAACATAATCGAACTTGAACCCCAAGACTGGCGTTTTCCTATTATTGATTAAGTCTTGTATGATATTTTACCAGAAGACATAAAAGAAAGAGACTCGGTTCGGCGAAGAGTATCGAGATTTTATTATAATATGGCGACCCAGATGCTATATCGTCATGCATACAACAGTTTACTACTCCGATGCCTTTTGACCAAAGAGGCGAATGAGGCTCTTAAAGAAGCGCATGACGGAACCTGCAGTGCGCACCAACCCGGTGCCAAACTCTGCGATCGACTAAGAAGAATGAGATATTATTGGCCAACCATGGTCAAGTATGCAGTTGACTACACCCGACGATGCCACACGTGTCATGTACATGCAAATTATATGCACCAACCCCCGGAGCACTTACACCCTTCGGCTACTATAGGCAATAAAAGTTGTCTTTATCCCTGCACAATAACTTGAAACAAGCAATAGAGCACAAGGGCCTGTCACACCCTGTTTCCCAAAATACTCGGGGAATTATAACATGAACAAGCCCGCGATGTATTACATTAAGGAGATTAAATAAAAATAAACATTTCTCCTTAACCTAATACACTAAGCGTCAAGAAATAAACAATGCGAAGGCACATGTCCCCGATCACAGATAGCAAGAATATAATAAACAACTCATAATAAAATAATACATATCACAAATGAATATCATCCCCGACATAATATTTGGGTCAACATGCCCTTATACAAATATCCAACTGAAATACTGAAGGAATATAAAATACATCATTCAACGGGAAAGAAAAGAAATACTGTAAAAGTAAACTAAGACCATCAACTAAGAAGAGATAACTGAACTTCGGTCTATTCTTCAACTCTATCTACAAGGCACTCCTGCTGAGAATATCCTGGCTCTGGCACATCTCCAAGCTAGACCCATCCTTCTTCTAAGTCTGACAAACACCAGAGAAAATAGGTGTATGTTAGCGTGCATGGCACACGGCAAGACCCCACAAAAAGAACGAACGAATAAAAACTCAATGCGAAAAACGATACAACAACAGAAATGACAAAGAAACGTACATGTGGAAATCTAACAAAATCAACATGCAAATTCACTACTAAAACATGATAAACATAAAGCAAACTGCATACAATAACCGGGTCGAATACTAACTATCCTAAAACTTACTGGTCCACCTCTCAAATAAGTCCAAGTTCGCATTACCGGAAGACTGACTGTTCACAATCCCCTACGCACATCCAATCCCGCGAAATAGGCGTCTAGAGGACTACACGCAATCCGATCTCGACTTGGTCCGAACTAGGGTTGTTAATCGGTTTGAATAGTGCGGTTAATAAGTGACACTGAACACCAAACCGATCTATTTTTTTAGTTTGATTCAGTTTGGTTTTTCACTTATTTTTTCATAAACCAATTGTGTTTAGTTTAGTTCGGTTTGGTTTTTCTCTGGTTTATATCGGGTTTTTTCGGTTATTCTATAAAGAAAACAAGTCTAGAAAAGTAGAAAATATAAATGTCTCATATTACATAACCATTTCCCAAAAAAACGATGGAAAACTAGAATAGCAAAAACATATAGATGATAGATCAACACTTCAGCATCAAGCTCCATGACCAAAAATCCAAAAACCTGCAAAAACAACCTTCATGAGACACATGATTTCACAAACAATAAACTTAATAAGATTATGCAAAATCTGGTTCATAATTTCCTATAACATTGTATGCAATTAATATGATTCACTCATTCACATAACAATATATAGGTCTAAAATATGGTTAACATAACAATATAGCTTTACAAAACTCAATAGATGTAAGGGACATACCAGCAAGTCAGCAACATCAAGCTTGGAAAGCACTCATGGTAGATTTTGGAGGCAACATGCTACCACTCGTAGCATCACTAGCTGAAGCTGAACAAGAAACTGAAGAAAGTATTTCCCACTCTACATGCGAACAAAATGTAAAGAGTTAATTAACATCATATATTTCAAACAAATTTAGTGAACCAGTTCATTAGATACGAGTAGAAAACCAAAACATACCTCGCTCAACTTGTTCACACAGCTCCATATCCTCAATGGTTGGAGTTTCATGCAATGCAACATGAGTACTAGTGAGCCAATTTTGGGTACAAATCAAAGACTCCACCATTCTAGGACTCAATGAACTTCAAAACAGATCAATTACCCGGCCACTTGTGTTGAAGGAAGATTCTGAAGCTATAGTTAAAACTGGAATAACTAGAAGATATTTCGCTACTCTAGCCAAAGTTGGATACTTTGCAGTTCCACTCACTCTCCACCAATCTAATATGTCAAAATTTTTATCATTTTCTCCTTCACACCTATCAGCTAGATATTTATCCACATCATTTTGAACAATTCCAGCTTTTCTTGCTTTTCTTCTTTGTTCATTTTTAGCCAACTTTCTTTCATAAGCAGATGTACACATATTCAAAAAAGAAACATCAGGCTGCAAGCTTTGAGAATCAGAGACATCACTTCCTAACTCTGTGACTCCTTTGTTATCATAACTTCTATACAACTCATACAACAGATCCTTCACTTTCTTTTCATGCTGCTCCACCTTCATGTCAAACTCACAATACAACACTTCATAATAATCAACAAGCTTCTCCAATTTATGACGAGGATCAAGAACAATTGCTACTAACATATACGGATTCACATTCTCCATCTTGCCCCAATATTTATCATACTTGTCTTGCATAGGTTTTATAATACCAGAAAGCACTACATTACTACTTTCTTGCAACAGACCATAAATCTTAAGCAAATCACCAAAAGTAGTATGGATTGTTAGAGAACTTGAGCAACACGCATGCAAAGTCACATCATAAAATGGTTTCAGAAAATAACAAAGTCTTCTGCTGAAACCCAATCACTTGCCTCAGGTGGCCCATTTTTTAATTCACCTTGAAAATATCTCACATAGTGACCATCATCCTCTTTCAATCTATCAAATGCTTTTCTGAACTTTATAGCTAACCGCAACATCAAAAAAGTCGAATTCCATCTGGTGGAAACATCCATGATCACAAGCCCTTTACTCTCAATTTTGACATTATCAATACACTTCTTAAATATGTCCAGCCTTTGAGGGGAAGATCTTACATACCTAACAACATTACGAACGCTTTGGATATAATCATTCATTACAGCAAGGCCATCATTCACAATTAAATTTAGAATATGAGCAACACACCTCATATGCAAATTCCCCCCTCACTGCAAAAGTACATTAGGGGTTTCCAACTCCCCTATTCTCTTTATCAAAATCTTTAATGCAACATTATTAGCAGAGGCATTATCAACTGTTATGGTGAGAATATTTCATATTTCTCACTCTGTTAGACACTCTTCTAAAAGCCTAGCAATGGACTCCCCTTTATCGTTTGGAATAACACAGAAATTCAACACTTTCTTATGTAAAATCCAATCATCTTCAACAAAATAAGCAGTAAGGACCATGTAATTTATATTTTGAATAGATGCCCAAGTATCCGTTGTTAGGCTGACCCTCTTCCCTTTTAAAGCATCCTTAAGAATTTTCTTTTCAGACTTGTACATACTTAACACATGTTTTGCAATTGTCTGACGACAAGGAATAACCCAATAAGGACAAGCTCTCTTACAGAAATACTTAAAACCCTCTCCCTCAACAAACCTAAAAGGCAGCTCATCCACTACTATCATATGAACACAGCCCTCAGTTATCCCCTGTTGAGAACACCCAACAGCTTTCAACTCTTCCTTGTTTTTAAAAACTAATATTTTCTGCCTCTCTTTATTTAACATCTCAACATTTGGGGGATATCTCTTGCAGATTTTCACATGACTAAGAAGGGATGAGGTACCATTTAATCTAGGATCAGCTAATATCTCTTTTTTTTGCAATAGTTACAAGCCCCTTTAGCTCTACCATTCACCATTTTTCTAGTAAAGTGAGACCAAACTTCTAACCTTTCATTGTTTTTCATATCTTCCAAAATCTCCTCCTCAGTCCTTGTATCTACGTCATCCTCTAAATCAACAATTTGAGGTGGAGCTACATCAGATGTTGCTTCAGATGGTGTGGATAACTCACCATAACTAAAAGGAGGATGCAAAGAACGACGTAATGAATCTGGAGTTAGTAAACAACATAAACTAAAAAAACAACATAAGTCTTTAGTTGCATCAATCAGATCGACCTAAAGAACTTAGAATAGATTAACAAAAGATTGATATTAAGATCGACCTAAGGAACTTAGAACAAATTAACAAACCTGAGAATTCTGAGATGAAGATGCAGTATTAAAAACACGTCTTGTTGGGAGCCTTGAGATCAAGACAAGGAGGGCTAAAATGAACGTAGTGTCTGAATACACTATCTTCGTAAGTCTCCCAGTGCCTTTGCCCCATATGCTGCACCAAAGTATGCATGAACTCATAGTAGGCAGTGAAGCTGGATGTGGGCCGCAGCTCAGATGTGGTCTTTGCCCTTTGTCTAGAAAGCAAAACCACAAGATATAAATAGTTTTAAAATAATCAGTAAACATAACAACTATGCTATAAACTTGCCAAAGAAACCGTAAACTTAACAACAAATCCATAAGCTTAACAACCAAAGTCTATCCTCAACAACCAATCAATAGCCTTAACAATAAAAGCATAACCCTTACAAGTTAACAGTAATATTCACAACGAATAGTCACAAGTAAACAGTAACCTCCATAACTAACAGACACCCGTCAATAATAACATTCACAACTAACCCTTAACCTTAAAAATAGACAGACACCCGTAAACAATAACCTTTATAGTAACCTCCACAACTAACAGACACCCGTAAACAGTAACATTCACAACAGACTCAGAACCTTATCAAGTAACCCTTAACCTTAACAACTAACATGCCACATGTCATAACTAAACAATAACCTTCACAACAGATCAATAATCTTAACAACTAATCATAACCCTAACAATGAATCAATTTCCTTAACAACTACAAGCTAACCTTCACAACTTATCAGTATCATTCACAATTAACACATCATGCTACATGATAAACAACATAAAAATTACCTTAAAAATCACTTTTTTTTGCTGTCATATGCTTCTCTTTATCTCCTCTCTGTAGAACCAGGAGCGCTCTAGAGGCATCGTTTGTGCCGTCGGTGGTGCCGGTGCTGCCCTCTAGATCTGGGTGAGGAGCTAGCTTTTTTTAGGTTGAGCTAGACTTCTTGGATGAGAGTAGCTGGCTGCGATGTTCTCTAGAATATAAGCAATTGAAGCGCCAGCTTCAGACCACTCTGCTGTTGTCTGGGGTCTTTTTGAGATGACGTACAGTGTCGCGTCATCGTCTTCGCTGAATTCGACGAGGAGGACTGCTTTGAGAGTTGTCTCGCCGGCCATTTTTCGCGATTAATCTCTGGAGTTGGATGATTTAGGGCTAGGGTTTTGAAATGAGAAAAATGCTCTAGAGTCGATTCGCTTAGACAAAAGACAGATGAAATGGCACAAACGATGAGGAATGGTTTAGAAAAATAAGAGGTCGTTAAATCAAAGAGTATTTTGGGAAGATCACATTGGTTTTAAACAGTGTTTTACGTGGGGCGAAGGGACCGTTGACAAAGTCCGGGGGGACACTCTGACTCGTTTTGGGGGCTAGGGGCAATTTTCCCAATATATTAATTAGTCATTTTTCATAGCTTGCTTAGACAATCCAGAACATAAACATATAGAATATAATTATATTACCTTGGAAAAATTCTTACAATTAATATACATGGTTACTAGTATATGATCTTTCCTTAACAGTGTGTTTGGGAGATTACTTAGAGAATAGAAGGAAGAGGAATGAAGGGGAAAAGTTCCCCTTCCTTCCCTTCCCCTTCATTACACCCTAATTTGCAGTGTAAGATTTTGGCTTAAATTTTTTTCCCCATTCTCCTCCTCTACCTTCCTAAATAGAACTCCCAAATAAGGTTAAAATTAGATTTTTTCCCCCTCCCGCTCTCTATCCTCCATCCAAACAGGCCATAATAAGAGTCTATTAGCCTCATGAGATATCGCATTAAAGTGAAAAGTAATTATTAAAATTGTAAAGGGTATAAAATACCGTGAATTCATGCAAATTATAAAATGAAAACATAGGATTGCAATGAGAATGAAATTATTTAAATAAAAATTATTTTTTCATAGAAAGATTTTGATATTTATGTACTATTTATCGTAAATTGTACTTAATATGAATTGACCATATAATTTTGACTTTAATTATGATAATTTTGATAGTTTTGATTAACTATATCATACTTCCTTTAAAAGTACAAGTTGTGAAAATCTTTTCATGGTCAATATTACCCTTAACTTTTTTTAAATATTATATTGTTATCCTAATCTATTCTAATTTTCCTATATTTTTTGAATTTATAATTAAATGATTTATCTTATCCATAATGTGACTTAACATGTTATTGAATAAATATGATATGTTTGTTATAATTCAAATCTTTTACTTATTTTAATTTGCAGAATAATCCAAAAAATATATGTTAGCCAGCACCAAAAAATTTTGGGCCTTGTAAAAAATACCCTCTAAGTTTTTAAATTGCAAAAACACCCCTCCAAAGTTCAAATTTTATTAAAACATCTTGAAAATTATAAATTTTACTTATTTTAATTCAGTGAGAAATCTAAAAAATATATGCTAGCTAAAAAAATAAAAGTTTTTGATATTGGAGAAAGTACCATGTAAGTTTTGAAAAATACAAAAACACTCCTAAAATTTAAATTTTGTAAAAAATACCTTAAAAATTTTAAACCTATAAACACGCTAAACGCCTACAAATAACACAGACGACCCTTAAAAATTTATGAAATTTGTAATAAACTCCCTAAACTTTTTACAAATTACAAGATAACATCCTAAAGATTGTAAAATTTATAAAAATCCTGATAATTTCTAACCTAACAGTACATTGAAAATATATAAGT